CATCAGAATTAGGTAGATACCAAGAGAGGAATTGAACAGTCTACCTCTGAATTATCAATCATTAAAGATGCTCAAAGTTTATTTTAAAATAATATTAACACTCTGTTTTCTCTGAACGAAGTCAAGCTTTAGGATACGATTTTTTAAATTATTTATTTCTATTTTATGTGTATGAGTGTATTGTCTGCATGTATGTAAGTGCACCCATGTCATACAATGCCCTCAGAGGTCGGAAGAGAGTGTTGGATCCCCCTAGAAGTGGAATTACAGACGGTTGTTCACCGCCATGTGGGTCCTGGGAATTGACTGGTCCTCTGCAAGAGCGGATAGTGCTCTTAACCGCTGAGCCATCTCTCTAGTACTGGAGATGAATTTTTTAGGTTGTCTGTCATTTTCATGGTCTGTGGTATGAGTTAGGCCTGCCAGAAGGCCAATTTCTTTGCTGCATGTTCTTTCCAGCCCAGGCTTTAGTTTCTTCCTCTTTTTACCTGGTAGGTGAGAAATTGGGATTCCATCACAGTAGGAAGCGGCACCCTGTCCCTGGCCGCACATTCAAGCAGTACCTTGTTAGGATCTGACCTACTTGCTTCACACAGGCAACTATCACCAACTCATTGAGGGTTTCTTCTGAAGAAAGGACCATGGTCTTGAATCCCATGCAAGAGGCACGTGTGCCCACCTGCTGATTTGGAAACTAGCTGCCAGTCTGTGCCACTGTACAGGGGCCGCGCAGGACGAGAGTGTGGGGCCCGGACAGACACGCTGCGCCCTGCAGGCCTGGTTGTTCAGAGTTACAGGGAGTGCCTGCTATGCCCCATCAAGGCTCCTGAGAACCAGTTGCTGTTTGTGCATTTGTCAGACATCTTTGGTGATGACCAGGCTTTACTGACTGTCCCACACCACCAACTTCCCTCTGCCGTTCTGAGAAACTATTCCTGGTTTTCCCCTACACACAGTTTCCCTGTAGCAGCTGCCTTGGTTGTTACCCTTAGTAAACTTGTTGAAAAGAAGGGAAATTAAAGGAACCTAAAGAGCTCTTGGACTGAAATGAAAAAGGCAGGGCTTAGCATCTTTACTTCGCCCTCAAAGCTGATTAATTAATAATTGAAATAGCAGATTTTTAAAATCTGGGCAGTGCTGTCAGCCCAAGATGATCATGTGTCTATTTTCCTTGAATATTTGGTGTCCTGGACAGGAAAGGTCTCCAGGCAGAGTCACGAGGTTCATGGTGGCATTGACTGGGATGCAGGTACCTTGGCAGGGTTATTCTGCAGGTGGATTAGCTTGCCGAGGGGAACGCAGTCAGAGTAGTAAGCCTTCAACACACTCCGTAGTGGAAGAGAGGAAAGGAATAACAAGTAGCAATTTCTTACATGTTGCAAAAAAATTTCTTCTCAGAAGTGTAAAGGAAAGGAAGCTGCGTGGTGGTGGTAAACTCAGGCGCTTTCTGCGTGAATTGACACTGAATGCAGAAGAGAATTAATCACAGCTAATGAATGTGGCACACAAGTGGTTCCATCAGATGATTGCAGAACACAATTCCCCATTTACCATTTATCCGTTACAAAGCAGTCTGGTCATTAACACGAAGTCCACATAGGCGTTGTTTACAGGCTGGGTGAGAACACAGACTCTCTGTCCTCAGAGCAGATTAAGTCCATTGTGTCCGTATGGGAACAGAATTTGTTAGAAATTATACTAGACGTATATTCTGCCATAATTCTTTATTTTTATGCCATGTTCTTTCTTTCATTCTTTCTTTTTAAACAGGGTCTCAGTGTAGCTAACCTAGTCTGGCCTCTTTGTGGGCCAGTCTGGCCTGTTTCTTGATCCTCCTGCTTTAGCTTTGCTAGTGCTGGGGTTTCAGTAGGGCCGGACCACCATTCCCACCTTAGGCTGCGATCCTTGATGCTCTTAACTGATGACCATTTGTTATTGTCGCTACTTAATTTTTTTAAATGTGTTAGCTGTGGCTAAGGTGACATTGCTGGTATATTTGGGTACAAACACCAGTAACAAATGTGACTTTGAGTGTAAGGAAGCATCTTTTGGGCTTTGATTAAAGTTATAAACGGATGCCTTTTGTAAAGTGATGAGGTCTAGAAAAAATTCGTGAAAACAGTTAAAATCTAGAAAATAAAACAAAAAGTATGAGATTTATCTGGGTGTGGTGGCACACGTCTTTAATCATGGCACTCAGGAGGCAGAAGCAGGTGGAGCTCTGAGTTCTAGGCCAGCCAGGGATACACAGCGAATCGCCCTCTCTCTGTATGTGTGTGTGTAAAACTATAGATGCATATATATGTATGTATGTAGGTAAATAATCAAAAATTGTATTTTTCTACTTGCTTCAGTCCCTCAGTCCCCATTATTGCTCATTTTCAAGCCCAGCTCCCCTGTGCGGTGGGCGCAGGCTGAATCTGAGGCAACTGTTATGCACATATGTTCCCACGTGTTTGTAGGTTGATGCCCAGCTGCTCAAGTCAGACCTCTCTCACCCAGGGTAGACTGAGTTTTCAGGGGTCACCTAACTAGGGGGAATGTTTTTCTCTTTCTCCGTGAGCACATCAGTGAACTGTGAGAGCTAGAAGCCTAACACTTTTCTGTCATCACTTTTCAAACAGTCATTACTATTCTTTTTAATCTATTCCATACAGGAAGAATTTAATGGAAAGCCTGACTCCCTCTTTTTTAATGACGGCCTGCGCAGAATCGACTTTGTTCTTGTGTATGAAGATGAAAGTAAAAAGGAGAACACTAAAAAGGGTTCAAATGAAAAGCAAAAGGTGAGCGCTTCTCTATCTCGGTGTCTTCTGCTCTTGTAAAATGAGAAAACGGGTGCCGATTTTATGTCGGTTTGTTTATAAGCAGTAAAGTGAAAGGGATGTTGAACATCGTGAACCAAACGTTGTTTTCGCTCTACGTGCGCCTTCAAGGCATGTTAATAGGAGATTTTAATTCGAAACCGTAACTTCCTCATCTTGCATCATAGTGTAGGCACATTCACTTTCAAAGAACTGTGTGTTCTGCTGTGCAGAAAAGATTTACATTAAGGCATGGCTGCTTGTACCTGCTGGGACAGGAAGCTAATCATTAATGACAAGTGCAGCGGCAGCTGGGGATCCCTCCTGGCTCACTTGGGGTGCGTTCGCATGCATTTTCTCGCCTCACTCTTCACACCACTTATGAATGAGAGTTGAGGGACAGAGAGGTGAAATGATTGCGCAAGGTTATGATGTGCGGCCCGACCGTGGTGGAGATGCGACCAGCCTCCCGTCTGGAGTCCAGCCCCTGCGCTCTTGGCCCCCGGTGCTCTCTCTCCTTCCTTCCTTGGGCTCCTTGACTGCTGCCTCCTTGTCCTTGGCCTCCGTCTGTGTCAGGAATCGGCCACTGGTACTTTGAGGTATTGAAACACTAGGCCAGGGCTCTCACAGCTGCTAGAACTGCTTTACCTAAACCCAGATTGCACTGAACTGGGAGGACAGGAAAGTGTATCCCTTGTGTCCGTTTTGAAAATCATCCCGCTGTTATACTCCCCGCTCACACACGTGCTGCATACACTGTGACATGTCGGCCTTCACTGTCCCTTTCTATACTTTATCCCCAAATGTACCAGTTCTTGATCTTTTATGCTGCTCATTCATTGAAAACAAATGATGAACTCTTTTTGTAAGGTGAAACAGTTTAATATTGTTTTATTTATGTGTTTAAATTTGTAGAAGATTAAGTTTGGATGGGGTTTTATGTTCACCTGGTTCAACAGAATGAGCCCAGGCTGTAGAATATGAGTGTCAGATTCAAATTCTGCCACTGCCCTAGCTGGGGTAATGTGAGTTGTAGAACAAGTCCTTAGGTGACAGTGGTATAAGAACAAAAACGTGTGTTCATCGCTCTTGCCAAAGTCGAAGGTGGCATTCTTGTTGGGCATGTGGTTTAGGGTTTGGGGCTCTGCTTCTTGTGGTCCTCAGGAACCTGGGCTGCACAGAGGCTCCCCAAATCCAGGAGGTGGTTCCAGCATCAGCACAAAGGGCAGATAGGATGGCAGAGAGGACAGTGCGGGAGCTCGTGCCTCCTCCCCGCGTGGCGCCTGGCAGTGACTGCAGTACTGTTCATGTTGTCAGACAAAGTGGGGGGGGGGGTCCCTGGCAGGACTGGCCATGCGCCTCAGGCAGCTTTCTCCACCAATATTGTACCATTTATTTTTTCCTGCATGTAGATGTCTATAAGTGTACATGTTACAAATGGTATATTATAGTTTAATTGGTTGAATTTTTTTCTTACTGGTGGTGAAATATTGGCTCACCGTGTAATCAGTGGCATCTTAGATTCGGGAAAATGGAATCCCAGCTCCTATCACAAAGTTATGATTAAGATTAAATAGCATGCTGGGCGTGGTGGCGCACTCCTTTAGTCCCAGTACTTGGGAGTCAGAGGCAGGTGGATCTCTGAGTTCGAGGCCAGCCTGGTCTCCATAGTGAGTTCCCGGTCAGCTGGGGCTACAAGGAGACCCTGTCTCAAAAGTATTAAAAAAAAGAAAAAAGCATATGTGGATGTTACATAAACTTTGAATACATATTAAGTCATATGTATAAATTCTGTATCTGCTCTTTGTATTTGGCATGCCCTGGTATAAGAAGGTACAACTCTTGCTACACAGTATTATCATGGAGTAAAGTAGCTACTCAGTCAACTTCCCTTGGATACTAAGACTAAGGTATAGTCTGTGCATCCATAGTTTCTATCAGCAAATATTCCTGGAGCGCCATATGCTGATAGAGCCGGGCTGAGTTTCTATAAAGCAAGTGAAACAGACCCAGTCCATTAAAGTATAAAAGGAAACAGTTCTGGGTTCACTGCCATGTAAAGGGCCCTGAGCTGCTTATATCATTAGTAACTACATTTGCTTTAGACAGAAACAGGTCCCAGGCTAGCTCTCATCAACCAGGAGGAAAAAGCCCATTAATTTTGGCAATCCTCAAGCTCACTGAGTGATGAACCTTGATGTTGGCATTTACAAGCTATGCTTTAAAGTGTTTTCAGTTTACATTTGTACATATGGCTTAATTTATACTCTATCAGAATTCAAGGCCCAGCTTCAGAATCACGGTTTTTATTAATTAGACAACTATTTTTGAGCTTCATTGTATTCCTTGTAAGGGCTGAGTACCAAAGAAAGGCAATTCAAAGTCTTGTTTCCCTTAGAAGGAAGAGTTTCATGTGTGTATCATACTGATTTCCTAAAACAACACCAAGATTGCCTTGCTAGGATTTATCCAGAGGACTGAAAGTGCATTTAGGGCTGTGGAACGATGGTTCTGATAGAGCCAGAGACACCAAAAATATAAGCAGAGCTTTGAAACCTGCATCTCCCCAGGAGCAAGAGAAAATAGTGTTCTAGCCAAACCTCTAAAAAGCATGTAATTTTATCCCTTTATATCAGTAAAATAACTTTATAAACCTGATACTTCCTTTAAAAACATGAATTACATGTTTGGATATTTGGGGGGGGTGATTGTAAATTGTTTCAACAAGCCTTATTTAGCCTATACTGTGCTTGGCACAGAATCAATTTGATTTTTATTTTGCAAGTCACAAGAAGACCAAGTTTAAAATGGCTTAAGTGCTGAAGGAAGTACGTTAGTAATCCGGAGATGGAGCCAGTCCTGAGTTAGATGACTTACTGAGTACATGAAGGCACTTCATCCTTTTGCCCTGCGGTCCTCAGTGTGCCAGCTCTTCCTAAACATGGTTCCCTTGGTTATGAGGTGATTGCTGCAACTCCAGACAGGAAGGGGGGTGCTCTGGAAGGACCCTATCTTGATTTACCTCTACAATTTATTGTCTAGCATAGACCATAAACCCCCGCCCCTTGACAGGGTCACAGATAGTCCAGGCTTGCCCTGAACTCACTATATAGCCAAAGATGACCTTATGGAAACTCCTGCCTCTACCTCCTGAGCGCTGGGGTTATAGGTGTTTGTCACCACCCAGGGTTTGTACATTTAGGGGGATGGAACCAAAAGCTTCACGTATGCTAAGCAAGCATTCTACTGACTGAGCTACATCCCCAGCCGTATCATAGTCTACTTCTAAGTGAACTATAGCCAGCCAGCCATGGTCATTGGCTTCATACCACGTACTCAGCCAACCACAGACAGACAATGTTCATAAAAATTGCCGGTATTGAACATGTACAGATGTTTTTCTTCATTATTCTCTAAACTATATAATATAAACAACCATTTACATTGCGCTAGGTATTGTTAAAAATCTGGAGATGGTTTAAAATATACAGGAGAATGTGTGCAGGCTATACCCAAATACTGCACCGTTTTATGTCAGGGACTTGGTGTGGCCAAGGAGTTTGTTATCCTTGGGTATCCTGAACCCTTCCCTGTTTATTCCAAGGGGATTGGACTGGTAAGATAACTCACATTATCTTCACTGGGACATGCTAGTCAAGATTGGTTAATTTATCTGTTGAGTCACCAGATCACCCAGGATCAGAACAATGTTTGGTCTTTTCTTTGTAATGGAGAAGGAAAGAATAGCTGTTTACGAGCTGTTAGCAGTGTCTGGCACCATACATGGTAACTGCAGCTAACTAGGTCTGATATATATTGTCAAGAGAAAAGATGTTTTAAGTAAAACAAATTCCCCTTCATTTCTCAGTTCTAGTTCAGTTTTGCTAGTAATTGCTTCTTTCTCTCTACTTTTTAATAAATGGCTAACAAGTTGTAGGATTGATTAGTTTTGACTTTGTTTTGTGGGACATTTACCCCCCTTCAGACAGATGTGTTTATAACCATGTGATGTGAAGGAAGATGGCGGCGTCTCCACAGAGCAAACAGTGCGTGTGGCCCTCAGTATGCATTTTATTTAATTTCCGTCCATTCCTAAAAGTAGATGTTAACCTAGTTTCCATGAAGTTGAGGAAAATCGTAGATATGAAAGTGTTTGTTTTTCATATTTGGCCTTAAGAATTCCGTAGTATGTGTCAAAAAGTTCTGGCTCACAGAGACTGAAAAATAAGAGAATTTAAAAATTAATGATGATCAAACTTATAATTTTATCCAAATTTCCAGATACTAACTGGTTTTCAATCTTGTGCACCTTTAAGGTTATTGGGCATTGTTGGCCTGAGGTGGAATTGTTTGCCTAGAAGCTGGATGAATTTCCTTTAGAAATGCTTAAAAGTTCGTAAAAATCTTTTAGTATGATAAGCACAGTACAGCACTCCATTTAATGAGTTTTTATATCTTGTAAAGTTCTATAATGTCTAGGCAGACTTTGTACATCTTTATTAACTGTTCTTAGTTATTTGCTTTTGTCAAAAACATTTTAAATTGTCGTTTGTGACTTAATTTGCATAAAAGAAGCCCGTTGATTTTTATGTCTGTGACGGTACTTTGATAAACTCTAGCTCTGATGGTGTCCAATGCTGCTTATTTTTCAAATGGAGCCCATATTGTGGAGCAGTTCTGTTCATCTTCTACCTACTTTCTCTTAGTTTTTTTCTTGTCTAAGTGCAATAATGGCTGGGACCTCTTGATTAAAACTAGTAACCCATCATAATAGTTGTATTGTTCATGGCTTTAATGGAAATAGCCACAAAAAGTCACCAATAAATACTATGGTACAAATTCCTGGTAGATTTCTTTTCCAAAATGTAAAAAGCTTTCTTCTATTTTTAGTTAAGGGTTTTTATAATGTCTGGGTTTGAACTTTATCAAATGCACTCTGAAAATCCACGGAAGTGATCTAATAACTTGGCTGTCGATTAAGT